GGCAAGTTTGTCCAGGCACATGCCACCTGCACATACATTCATCCTCCAGCCAAGTGTGAAGATAACAGGGACTACCACCAATTGCAAGTTTCAGGTGCCCACAGCAGAACAATTAAGATCCAACAAATGTCCAATCATTGTCTAAATACATACAAGCTTTTCTTGAAAAAACAAAGCAATGTTGAGACATGAAGTTAACCACAGTATGAAGGGCTCCACTGAAAAATATAACCCATACAGGACTATTACACAATTGTCTTTAAAGTTACCAGTGGAAAAGTTTTACACCTCAAATGCTGCTTCTCCTTTCCACAAGGTTCAAAAACTACCAGGAAACTGAATGTAAAAGGTCAGCTGTTTCAAAGTCATTCCTTTGAAACTGGGGCTGCCTGGAACAGAAGTTCGCCCATGCTACTCAAGAGTCATGTGGAGATCAATGCAAAAATCAGCATCCACAGTTATGTGCTTCTGCATGCACTAGCTGCACCATAACTAACATGTTAAAGGAAAGCAAGGTAAAAATTTGGATGCAAGTGCCTGGCCATGGGTCAGACTTAGAAATGGACCCCCTTCACAGATAAAAGTTGTTTACATTTAAAATTCTGTATCATTCTGTCCTGGTTTAGGGTAGAACAGGGCTAGTTCTGTTCAGTGATTCTAACTTTTCAGCCAAAGCTTTTCTAATTAACTGCCTTGTCTGAAGTTAGCAGCAAACTGCCTGTTTTAGCTGTAATAAGACTCCATGTTTAGAGTTACTGCCAGGATTGGTGTGCAGACAAAGGCCACTGCTAAGCTTGGATCCCACAAGGAGGAGGGCAGAAAGTACAAGCTGCACCTGCGGGGAGGAGCAGACAAGAGAAGTGACCCCAAGATTCACCAATGGGGTATTCCACCCCATATCCCTCATATCCAGTAAAAGCTGAAGGATTAGGAGGGGCAACCCCTTCCGTCAACCCTTCCATCTTCTTCCTTGCTTCTGCTGCTCCTGCAGTAGCTGGCATCCAAGAAGGACTCTGTCCATCCTGCCTCTGAGCCTGAGTCCTGTGTTCCTGAATTGAGTTCCAGAACCCAGCTCCTGTACCCAGTCACTGTCTGTGGTCCCAGCCTGGGACCCTTCCCCGGGGGCTGCTCCCCAGCCGCGGGATGACAGTGACATGTTGCCGTCGGGGGGAGTTGGGTTTGATACTGGTTTTGTAGACATATTTGTACATATTCCATTTTATTATCTTTATTACTATTATTATTAGTGGCAGTATTAAAGCTGTTTTCCTTTTCTAATCCCTTTTGGGGGGCAGCGGGAGAGGGTTAACAGAGAGCATCTGTTATGGTTCTGTGGGTAGACCTGACCCCAAGCCACGACACATTCAATAGATTTAATATGAAATTTCCAAACTGAATTTCAAAAATTTTTCAGGCTTTACAAGCATCTGCTCAAAGGTAATCTAAGCTGGGTGAGAATCACCTACATTAGGAGAGAAAAACCACAGTGCTTTCATTGATAGCCACTCTCCCAGCACTGACGCCAGTTTTCCCTTCAGCAGGTACTACATAAAAGTTGATTAGAGACTGTGGAGCTCTACTTCTCC